TTTTAGTGCTGTGAGCAACATCGCATTGCTAACTTCAGCTCATCCAAAATTCTCCTCTTTCCCGCAGTCAATATAGCTCAATAGAGTTTGCCCACAACGTGACAAGGACACAGGCATACAGAGCCCTTCCACATCATTGGCTTTCAGAAGACTGTCTACACAGAGTACAGGGGCTTAGAACAAAGGTCTCTGGTGGCCCCATATGGAAAACACTGAAGTCTCACCCCTAAAATGGAGAAGATACGACCAGACAACTCTCAAGTGGCTGATAACATGAAAGAAAATATATATTCAACATCTCTATAATCAGAAGAATGCAAATCAAGGCAATAATGAGATACTATCATTCACCTATCAAATTTTCTAAGATTTTTTAACAATCTGTAACATACAATGTTGGTTAGTGTTGTAATGAGATGGATATCTTCTGGAAAACAATTTGGTAATATGTGTCAAATGATTTAAGACACACTCTGGGCCTCAGTAATTCCATTTGTAAGAATCTATTTGAAGAAAATAATCATTTATCCAATCACAGGTTTATGTACAAAAATATTCACTGAAGTGTTCAACAACCAGGAATGGTTAAATAAATTATACGAACAGCCACGTGCAGCCATTAACCATAATGATTGCAAAGAATTCTTAATGACAGGAGGAAGTCCTCACTCTGTGTAAGGACCAGGGGAAAAACCAGGGTACAAAATTATATAAACAGCATGCTAGTGACTTTTTGGGAAAAATAAAAAAAACAATATAGAAAGACCTCCAGTGATTATCGAGAAGTGGTGGAATGGTGCAGGATAATTGAAAAAAATTTTTTCCTCTTCCAAATGTTTATAATCTGTAATATTACCATCATTATTGCAAAATAGAAACAGTTGCTAATTATCTAAAGTAAATGAGCCAAAAGAAAACTGGTAAAGTTTGGTTAGAAATATCAAATGTGATGTACATTATCAATCGTTCAGATTCATTACTATAAAAAGGGCAAGAAATAATGCAACACAACAGATTTTACACATCTTCTTATTACCCAGCAAAGGTTCAAAAAAGACAAAAAAACGGTATTCTTGTTGCTATATCCAAAGGAAAGCAGCAAACAGACATCCAACCTGCTTCAGCGATAAGACAACCTGAGACTCTTCTGCCCCATTTTTAGGAGGGTCAGTTACAAAACTGGCTTGTTTACCAGTTTCTGCTAATAGCGCTAACAGCCTAAGCTGTCAAGGCTAAAGACTCCTCCCTTTTCATTTTGGAACAGAAAGTGTACATCCACAGTTTCTCACTCACACACATCTACAAGCACACAATTAACTTAACTCAATTATCTTCATTCTTACCTGGATCATTTTAGTGTGGACACCCTGCCCCATCTCGATTCCACCGTGAGTCACCAGCACAGACCCATCGAGATAAATGTGAACCAGGGCAGCAGCCTAAGGAAAAAAAGATGACAATAGTTTCATGATCTTTCTGAAGGATATTATCATATGCTTGTCAATTACACCTTCCCTGGAAAGGATCCCCACCATTCCACCACTGCCCACATATACACAGACGCTTCTCCCATCGCCCTGAGGGGGCTGAGCAGAGCAGGGCGGGGGCTGCCTCGTGATCCCCCCACAAGAGGCCAGGTTGTCTCTGGATGACTTTGAGTCTGGGGCAGGACGATTCTCCTTAAGCTACTATTTCCTCAGTGGGCATTTGAGACCACTGGTGCTTTCAAGGATCCCTCTGACCCGGGTGGACAACTATCTAGGTTTGGGGTTTGTTGGAGGAGGGTCGATGCAATGTTAAGTGCAGACAGGTTGGTCAGAGGGGGAAGAGTTGTTTATGTGAACGTATATTCCCGTAGCTGTAGGGATCTGTCCAAATAAGGTGGGACAGATAGGCATTAATGTCCTCCTGCAAACTGAGCTAAGCCCCTCTAAATCATCTTGGCACACAACGACAGTGCTTTAGAGTTGGAGGGGAACTTGGGAGTAGTCTTATCTAACTGTAGAGCTCCCCACGGGGATCCAGAAGGAACGAAACTAACAGAATTAAAGGCTGCTGTAATCAGAAACAGCCACACTCC